AAACCTTAAGACACCAAACCCTTAGGGTCCTGATGTTGAAGCCCCCGAGCCCCTGCAGGATGGTGCCCTCGATGGCGACCAGAAGAAGGCACAGGAGACCAAACCCTTGAACCCAACACCCGCGAGCCCATTCCTCAAGACCCCCACACCACCAGCCCGTAAGGCTTCAACCCCAAAGCCCCCAAACCCTTCGAGGATGCTGGTTCGAACAAGCACGGGATGGCTGGGGCAGGCAAGAAGGCCTGGATTTGGGAAGCCCCAAACCCTTCCCTAAGGCCCTAAGCCCTTAGCACCCCGGTTAAGACGAGGCCCCGATCCTCAGCAAGCAGAAGCCGATCGCCAGCCAGCAGAAGGCCCAGCCGAGGGCCTTGAGGGTTCAGCTTTAATGGTTTGGGGTTTTAGGGTTTAGCCTTATTGTGCGGTGCAGCCGTGTCGTTCTTGGGTCGAGTTGCGGGTTTAGCCCCAATCGTTTGGCTTTGCAGGCGGCTTAACCCTTAAAGCCTTAAGCCTTAAAACCATCAGAACAAGCAAAAGGCTTAAACCTGACTCTTAAGGCCCTGATCCAGACCCTGAACCGTTGCAGGCCAGTGGCAATGGCGACCAGAAAGACCCGCCTGGGGCAGACGACCAGGCCAGGCCGACCCTTAAACCACAAACCCTCAACACCCTAATCTTCAGTATCCTTAAGCAACCCCAACCCCGCCAGGGCAATTAAGAAGGACTTCGGGATGCCGTGCTTCGAACAAAACCACAAACCCTAAACACTAACTCGTAAGGCCCCCAACCGTTCCCCAACCACATCACGATTCATGCAGAACAATAAAATTGCAAGGCTCTTGAAAGGCCGGGTCGAAAGCAAAGCCCCAAACCCGAAACTGTAAAACCCTCAAACCATCCCAATCCTCTTCATGTCTCCCAGTCACATCCCAAGCAGGCCGAGCCCAAGAAGGTGCCAGAGCCGCCTCTTGATCCTGAGGAGCAGAAACTGATGGAGGACTACGTGTCGGAAAAGGGGGGCATCAAGCTCAAAGTTGTTCACAAAAAGCAAACGGGTCGCAACAACATCGTCATTTTGTCCATGGAGATCGAAGGGAAATGGCGGCAAAAGGCCCAGATTGTCGTTAGGAGTGCCGGGATGCCGCCGTGGGCTGCTATGCTTGGAATGAAGCAGGTCGCAGAACAGACCCTTTCGTCCGGAAACACCGAGAACATCAAGCAATGCCGGGACGATGTCGTGGAGGCGATTTTTTCAAAGACGTGGGTGCAGTATATGCAAAACCTGGGCCTTGAATGCCCAAAGTGGGCCACGACAGATCTCATAGACTTCGTTTCAGACAGACAGCACTTGCTTGGAGGGGCCAACTAGAAGTCACGGTCTGGAAGCACTGTGTTGGACCCTGCATCCCAAACTGACCCTAAACCCCGATGTGTGTGCCTGCTCCAAAGCTTGCTGCTGGCTGTACAGACTGTGTGCCCGCACCTACGAAGTCAAAGCCCTTTGTTTCACGTTGTACAGTGTGCCTGAGCCAGATCGCCACTGCAGCGAGCCAGATCGTCGAGGCCGCCAGAACACGGTTAGCCTGGGATTGGTAAGTCATCTCGAATCGAGGCCATATACACCCCCGACCCCATAAGCCTTAAAGCCTCAAGCCTTCAAACCATGAGAGCCGGCGAAACGCTTAAGCCTCAAACTCATAAGGCCCTATAATCCTTACGGTACAGGATGCAGAGTCAGGTTTGGTTCGGGGTTATTGCGGGTGCCGTGACCCTGCATAGATCAATCATGTGGTCCAATGGGGCACCGGGGATACGGCTGGATCTGCTGGGTTCACGATTCCTGTAGCCTCTATCTAGAGAAGAAACACAACCACAACCCAGAAAAGGCAAAGCCAGCTACAATTAGGTAAAAACAGCTAAAATCAGCTCAAAACAGCTAAAAATAAACAAAACAGCTCAAAATGGCAGCAAAAATAGCGATGAGCCTCCGATGAGCCCCAGACCGATGAGCCTCCGATGAGCCCCCGATGATGCTTGGCCCTGTAGTCATGGATAAGTATTGGATACCCCAGAATCCCCAGAAGTGCAAGATTCAGCCAGCCGGGGTGCGATGAGGGGGGGTCGGCCCAGACAGCGATGAGCCTCCGATGAGTGTGTACTTGTCATGGAATCATAGTACGTCAAGGATCTTCGTGTGTGAGCAAGCATGATACAAGGGTTGAGGGGGCCGAAAGACAGCGATGATCC